TGCCTAGTTATGTAGTAGGCTGTACCATCTAGGTTTGCGTAAGTACACTCTACAATGTTCACACAACAAAATCATCTAACAACGCATCGCTCAGAAAGTATCCTTGTTATTAAGTAACGCATTACCATATATTGTTAGCTGGTTTCACAGACGTGGAGAAAATCTAAAAGGTTAACCTGCCAATTGTTACTCTTTCTAAATTCTCTTCATTGTAAACTCATGTGCGGGGGTGGGGTGGTGATAAAAACCTGCTTAAAAATAGTCTACATCCTGGTCCATGGTGTGTAACATAACTAAGATTTTGGTGACAGATGTAAATAAGAACTGATGTGTTTTTATCGATCCAGTGTGAAATTGAAAGGGAGGATGCCTGAATTCACTTTTAGCCCATCCTAGACTCAGTGTACAATCTTCACAAGGTTACCAAGTTTTTGAACCTTAATTTTATTGTCTGTAGTCATGGATCTATAGAAAATATCACATTTGGACCCTATAGGAAATCATTCTACATAAGTAGGATCTTACTATTAACAAAAATAAAAATTAAAAACCCTCAGAATTTATAGTTTATCCTGATTACAAAAATAAAACGCATTCAAGAATAGAAACTTTAAAAAACAAAAAGTACAAGGAAAAATAGATATTAGAATGCTTTAAATTTGAACTACCCTGTTCTTATTTCATGTTGGTTATACCTTGCTTTTATATCTTCTGAAACTAGTGATTTATTGTTATTGTTCCCTCCTCCCTCCCTTCTTTCCTTCCTTTTCTTTCTTTCTTTCTTCTTCCTTTCCTTCCTTCCTTTCTTTCCTTTCTTCTCTCTTTCTTTCCTTTCTTCCCTCTCTCTTTCCTTGTTTCTTTCTTCCCTCCCTTCCTTTCTTCCTTTTCTTCTTCACAGTCAATATCTGTTTAGAGTTACCAAAACGTTTATTAATATATTTGCTTCCACTACTTTTTTTTTTTTTTCGGTGAGAAAGTTTGGCCCTGAGCTAACATCTGTGGTCAATCTTCCTCTTTTTGCTTGAGGAAGATTTTTGCTGAGATTTTTGATTGGCTAACATCTATGCCAATCTTCCTCTCCTTTGTATGTGAGATGCTGCCACAACATGGCTTGATGAGCAATGCGTAGGTCTGTGCCAGGATGGAAACTCATGAACCCTGGGCCGCCAAAGCAGAGCACACAAACTTCAGCACTATGCCACCGGGCTGCCCCCGCCCCCCCCCCCCCCCCCCCCCCCCCCCCCCCCTTC